TGTTCGAGGCGAACCTGGTCTATCAAGGCTCCTCGCCCACGAACACGCAGGCACCCTAGCAGTGCTAGGCTAGCACTGACCCTGACCCTCATTTCGCCTTCCTTTCATCCTCCTGTATGATGTGGTAGACTCTCAAAGTTTGTTCTCGTTTTGAACCACCGCGACTACGACCAATAACCTCCTGTTCGACTATTCAACTTGACTAGTTCACAGAGCGCGCACCTGTGCAATCGACATCTGTCTTTCACAAGGCTATGTTCTTCGTGCTCACACATCAGCGGAAATCGTAATTTCTTGCTGATCTCCTTTCTCATGAACTTGCCCGGTTATGTCATGTTCAGGTGACAAGCGTGCTCTCAGTAACATTCTTCGCATGGTCTGCCCTGCTCTGAGAGCAGTGCTCTCTCTACCTGATGCATTAGGCTTCAGGGTTTGCCCTTTGGGCATGGGCGGAAATTTCCGAAGGAAATTTTCGAGAAAATTTCAGAAATTTCCGTTGAGGCTGGAAATTCTTGGAAATTTGCTAAAAATGCCCAAAAAATCGTGCCCAGGGTAGTAGAGAGGAAAGAAGTAGTTCAGATTCATTCATAATGGCCGAATAAAGCTAGTGAAGGCGTTCGCAGATGTCTACTGGTCACTATGAATACATCTTGCGGTTACCCTCAGATATCGATCAGGTGGGCGTGCGCGTGAACCTCTCAAGAGTTAGCGATTCTCCAACTATCTTGCAATCTTGCGTTCTCTCTCTCGAGAGTCGAATAGTGTCGGCTTAGCTCCAGTTATTTTCACGGTTGGCGCTATCGACCTACTTGGCTGTAGTCAAGTGGACTAAGACTTAGTCATGGTGTATATGTATGTTTAGTCTTAGTATGGTGGACTTAGTCACTAAGTCCACCATATCTTGCGTTCTATCGAGTACATCTTCGGCGGTAATCTTCGCATTCACACGTTAGCTGTAACTCGCACGAATTTGCGTCACTTTGGATAAGCTGCTGAGCCCCAGCATGATGGACGGTATCCGAGGTGGAGACCCATAGCCTATGGGTTTGGGCCCTATGGGCCATAGGGCGTAGACATCGATCACTTTCTCCCGTAATTCAGAATGATTATGGTGGATGAAAAACGAGATGAAATATCTCATTTCCCCTCTAAGAGCCCAAGCTTTTGCTCACGTTCGACCCAGAACAGTAGACTCAGTTACCTAGGATACAAACTGAAGCAGAACTCGGCCAGCCTCGGCCAGACTCGTATAACACCCTAAGATGACATGGCTACTATAGCGGGCCGAAAGGCCGCGATTTCTCTGGTTCAAACCACCGTATTTGGCATGATATACGTTGGGCCCGGAAGTGGCATACGTTGGGTCCGGTGGGCATACCTGGCTGATCGCATGTCTCGCGCGCCCGCATGGCGTGCGAGATTTACACGGAAATTTCCATTTCCACCGTTTCCGAAATTTTCCGTGATAAAATTTCCTTTCCGCGAAATTTTGACGCTTGCCCGCCCAAAGGGCAAACCCTGTTAGGCTTCCATTTTTCATGTGCTAACTCTCTTGCTCTGTAGTGTGAAGTCGAGTGATGACTCGCCATGTACAGTTGATCATCCCACTCGCCTGTACTCACTCGGTATTACGAAGTCCATAAGCCACCAATTCGGTGGCACGAGATTTCAACAACTGGCGAAAGACGCCATCACCTCGAATCAAGTCTGTTTTGCGTGTGCCGCGGCGGCACTGCCGCCCTTCGATCGCCCGGTGCCTCCCTTGTGGCCGACGCGATTTTCTTCCGCTGCATTCTCAACACTTCGGGTCCGCTTCTTCCTGGTCTACCATATCCCTCGTCTGCTCTCACTCGGGTGTCACCGGTTTGGGCGATTCAGCGCTCGAAGAGGCTACATTCCCGACCTTACACTACCACTTGTGAGTCCCGAGGACATCGGTGAACATCTAGACATTGCTAGAGATGTCACCACCGATATGGGACGTGAGTCCTACATTGCACGATACTGTAAACCATGCACGCTTAAAAATAGTTGTAATACCAGTTACTGCTATGTTGTTGGCGAAGTTCACCAGGAGAAGTAGCTCGACCCCGAGATTATGCAATGGGTATGAATGTCTTCTCGGACGAGCTGTGTCGCAGAGCCTCTGTTCTATGCACTGCACTGCACAAGTATACATGATGCACCAGCTAAACTGGCAAAAAAAGGACCACAGAAGCATCGCAGCCCCCACGGTCTTCGGCTTGACATACAAAAACTGTCAACCGACGTCAAATGAACCTCTTATAATATGCGTAGAACTGGCACTACCGCTGATGCGGTAGTGCCCTTAGGGATAGCGGAGTAGGGACGATGTAAGGACACGTCGGAAGTAGGAAAGATTTGGATGAGGTTCATGTCGGGCTCTTCACAGTCTCGATCAGTCAGCACACAAACGCTTGGCAACGAAGTCTCCCGTCGGATCTCGCCACGCGGGTACAGGATAGAGTCGACTCAGACTGAGCTAGGCAGCTCACCTGACAGACTCTGTCAGACAGAGGAATGGACCGAGGACAGGAGGTAGGATGCGGAGGTCGCCCAAGAGAGGTGTCGACTGGACTCCAGGCACTGGAGGGCACCCAGGCGAACCTCCTCCTCCTAGTGGACAAGGTGATCAACTGCAGCGTGCTGCTTGCACCTCAGCAGTGACCACCTCGTCCACCCTCTCCCATTCCTCTGGGTCATGGGATTTCATGGTAGTGATTCCTGCTAAGGAATCGACGAGAGTGAAATCCTGGACGACAGAGGAACACAACGTGCACAATGAAGCACGCAGTAGAAACCAAAGTGCTTCAATAGACGCTAGACTGATCACATGAGACTAAGATGAGTGAATTGATATAAATCCTGTGGGGGATCATCAGGTCGTGCTTTCTTCCCCCCCTTGACCCGGAGGTAGGATGCGGAGGTCGCCCAAGAGAGGTGTCGACTGGACTCCAGGCACTGGAGGGCACCCAGGCGAACCTCCTCCTCCTAGTGGACAAGGTGATCAACTGCAGCGTGCTGCTTGCACCTCAGCAGTGACCACCTCGTCCACCCTCTCCCATTCCTCTGGGTCATGGGATTTCACAACCACCAAATTGCGTTTGGGCGCGCGCTTTTTACCTCAGCAACCTCAGTGAAGCACCAACGACATCATCAAACCTTTACAGGTTGTACTTTATACTAGGCAACTTCTACAGATGTTTATATCTCGCAGATTCCTATTTAACCATGAACGCGTAACTCGGAAAAAAATTCCGATCGATTATTCAAATGCACAGTAGAGTAGCTGGTCGTACTTTCAACCTCGTGAGGCTTCTGAATGCCAATAAACTTATCGTGAGGATCTAAGTGCATCTGCATTCAGTTCTTCTCGATTTGATGACTTTCAGACCGGAAGTAGAACCCTCAGTAGTGTTTCACGCCCCTTGCTATGGAGTGTCAACATTCTCTGTGCCGAGATGGCTATTCGTGAATCATGAATCGTATTGTGTTGTCAAAATTGTCTTTTTTGAGGTGGAAACAGAATTGTCCACGAAGTCTGACGTGGTAGGTTATACGAGTCGTAAGTGAAACGTTAATCAACAACCAGTCAAACAAGGTTGTCTTCGATCGTCTGTGAGGAGAGTGTCGATATTTTCACTATGTGCGACAGCTTTTGATACTTTTTAAATGTCGTTCTCTGTTAATGATGATGCCTCAACCCTCATCCACGTGTTGACTCGCAGCGCGGGTCATCCTGGTATTTCTATCAAGCTTGGCCTCTGTCGTCACTAGAGCTACTACAGGCTTCTCAACAAGCATTGACCGAAGTGGACACCACTGCCCCTCATCGACACCGCTAGAATGCTCATAGTCGGCGTCGTGCAGAGCATGCCAATGCAGTTCACATTCGCTGTGGTCTTCGTTGCGAGCTTCCTGGCATCACAGTACCTACGGGCTCAGTCTATACCATCAGCTGGTGACAGTGGCCTTGGTGACAGGCTGTGGAAAAAGAAGTGTGGCAATGCTTATATCGATCAAAAGGACGGGGTCGTGGATGCATACTGTACTAGAGGGAGGGCATGGTGTGGGGGTAGATTCGGCTATGCTCAAGCAATAGACCGTCCTTGTTTGGGTTCTTTATCATCGCGGCTATAGCGGTGACACGCATGCGATAGCATGGTGATAGCATGGTGACACCTATCGTGAACGGTGGTGACACATTCGAATGAGTTGTATACTGAATATTATGTAGTTGCTAGGGGACGATGACAACAAGCTGATTAATCGAGTGATCCTCGAAGGGATACTTGGTATTGTAGATTGGTGATAAGT